GAAGATTAAATGTATATTGGAAATACACTTGGGGGTCAAGCTAGAAAGTTGCTACTTGGCACCCTTCCTGCCATTTTAAAACAAGGATTATTACAAATTTCCCAATAGGACTAAGGACAAATTTTAATTTCTCACCCAATAATGTCCAAATACATTTAATCTTCTTATGTACTTAAAATATCATTGTATTATTGCTATAACTGGAACCAAATATTTGCCAGGATGTAAAGAGCGCTGAACCCGTTAATTTTTAACACTTAAAAATATTGGGGGGGAAATGGAATAGTTACTCTTAATTGCTTGATCATTAATATACTTTCAAAGGTTTTAAAAGAAATATAACTTATCCCCAAACAGCTGAAAGGCAGTATACAATTAAGTGTTTCAGTTATGTTCCCTGCTTGAGCTAAATGCTTTAACAGCCTCTAAAACGCCAGCAATTTTGAGTGAATTGGAACAGATTTTATAGAGGCTAAACTATTATTACCAGCAAATAATTTTTTTTTTTTACAAAACAAATTTGGCAGAAGAAATTAGAGACAGAGCTTTGAAATATTCTATATTACAAAATGTTTATTCTTAGGTTTTAAGGAAAGTTAAGTATTCTTCTTATGACTAAAAATTAGGCTAATTCAATAACAGCAACAACAGCAACAAACCCCACTAGATGTTTTTAAAAGGTTGACTAACATCCTTCCTTTTTGGAGATTTAATTAATTTGAAGGTATGTATGTATGTACTTGTATGCATATAGTTTGGTTGTGCTCACTGGTGATTGCTTTTTGGTTAGATATAATCAGTGTGGTAATTAAGATTCTTGGGCCGAAGCAAAGTTTTATATGGCAGATGTTAACATGCTGTTAAATTATATTCCCCAAATCTGGAATGTGTTCATTTGTGAATAACTCTGGATTCATAGTGCCTGGACTGTAGAATATAAGGGGATTGTATGTTCTTAGAAGGAAAAATGCATACTGTACCAGACTATGAGGTTTGATTTAATGACATTTATCACTTCTCAGCAATTGAATTGTTGAGACTGTCCATAGGGGGGAAAAAGGATGGATAAATATACTTCTGTATGATCAAGGCTCAATTTTTCATTTAAAACCTGAGTTGTAGTGATTTACCTAAGGATATAGTAATTATTTTTGTACTGTCAGAGACAGTCTTTATTGAAAGAAACGTTTATTGAAAGAAATCTTTATTGTTTCTTCCCCCCACACACACACTAACCTTAAAACATTCACGATTTTTAAAATGTATATTACTTAGCTTTTATATATATAATTTGTTTTGTGCTGATGGAATTTATAAGTTTAGTATTTTTCTTTCTGTATTTCCTTTGTAGTTTCATTTGAAGTTATATAATTTAAAAAAAAAACACAGCCAAGTAAATCTTTTAAAAGCCTCATCTGCAATTACCACTGTTACAACTTATTTCTACAGCACTTCAAATCAATTCGTGCTCTGCATGGAAGAAAAAGACAAATCTTTATTCCAAATTTCAGAATTCAGACAGAGAAGGGTTAAAAAACAGATGTACCGCGCACTGCCAGGATAGTTATTTGCTGCCCTGATGAGAAGAGGGGGATAATGTTTTTGAGGACATTGATTAGCTGATAAATACTAAATAGTATATACCCCTGGTGGTGAATCTATGGCGCGTGTGCCGGAAGTAGCAAAAAGAGCCACCCTGCGCGGGACGCACAGCCTCGCTGGCTCCACTTCCATGTTCCTGTGCAGACACACACACACATGCCAGTCAGCTGGCCTTCGCACGCATAGGAGCACCGAAACCCAGAAGAGCAGCGTTCCAGAGTGCATGAGTGTGCCGGCACCCGAACTTCCAGGTTTCCTTCACGCTCATGGGCAACGGCCAGCTGTTTGTCAGGCATACACGTGTGCCGGAAACCAGAAGCTTGGTTGCCGGCGCATGCATGCGTATCAGAACACTGCTCTTCCGGGTTTCTGTGCTCCCGCGTGTGCGAAACCCAGCGGGGCAATGTGGTCCAGGCGAGATGGTTTTGCGTACCATTTCTGGCAAACAGGTTGGCATGTGGTGACGTAAAAGGTTAGCCATCACTGGCATACAGGTGAAACTTGAAAAATTAGAATATCGTGCAAAAGTTCATTTATTTCAGTAATGCAACTTAAAAGGTGAAACTAATATATGAGATAAGACTCATTGCATAAGAGATAGACTACATTACATGCAAAGCAAGATAGTTCAAGCCATGATTTGTCATGGCCAGATAATTGGTACAAGATGGTACTATACTTCTGTAGCCAATTTTTTTCCTTATGGACATTGCAGCCGCACAGAACTTTG